ACTGCACGATAATTCGGAAAAAGATTTGAGAATTTACGGTAACCTCCAGAGGTCACCGCAAATTTCCTCCCCCCGCGGCTTCGCAGGCCGCCGACAAATGGTCACCCCTTTTGAGAATTTGGGCAGATGTTCACCATGTGTGACTGTCCGGGAACTCTTTTTTTGGGGGGAAATGGGGATTTGGTACCTAGTGTGAGCGTGCCCTGAGAGTTCCTTTTTACTTTTTCCCTTTTGCCGTGTCTTTGGCAAGATGCTTCCGCGCAACCAGAAAGTCGGCCAATGTTCCACCGCGCAATTCAGTCCCCACGTTCCCCCCAGCCCTCTTCCCGAACATTTGCGAAAAGAAAAGAAAAAAAACGCGCGCGGTCCCCTTGGACCTTGCCACCTCACACAGTTTCTACCGTCCCTGGCACCGCTCCAGTTCAACTGGCGGCCGAGGGAAGGCAGTGCGAGCATATCGGGCCCGTCGTTGCTATGTATCGCTTCGCGACTGTTTCTGCTGGGGCTCCTTTTCTTTCCCCCCGACCTCTGGGGACTGTGACGCGAGGCCCGCTTTTACTTTTTTTTTATTTTAATGCAAGGCCCACTTTTACTTTTAGTAGGATTAGGGACAAGTATCTATCTTCTGATGCTGCAGATCCCTGTCTTGGCTTTGCATGCTCCCCTCACTCCCTCACAGCTCACTCCCCTCTTTTCCAATCCAAGTTGTTCTCCCTTTAGTTCTCCATCCGAAACTTCACCCTCCTGTTTGTGGAATCTTCAGGACATGCCTCACTGCTCCATGAAACACCAGAGGACATGCGTGCCACCTCGGTGAACCTCCGAAAATCAAAACACATAGTATCGTCTCTCTGCTCTGGTTAGTTATCATTACTTTCTGTCATCCAGGGCGTCAAGACATAGGGATGCCCTATGCGAATCTCCCAGAAAACTGAAGTACCACAGAAATTCACATGCAAAAGAACTTCACAGTCAAAATAGCGCACATTCCTCAGTCTATTTAGTTCCGTAGTTTACCATTCCTCTATTTAGTTCCGTAGTTTACCATTCCCTCCTCTTTACTACAACAGGGAAGTTGTGAAAGCGACTGAGAATCTGATCCAATCAATCAATAGAGATCTATGTCCATGCATGCCCATCTATGTCGCATGCCTGCCCTATACAGACAGCTATCCGCACTCCCAGCACGACGCTCAGTTGCATTTTATGTCTGTTGCAGAAAACAGATGCCACCAAAAGAGGGGGGGG